TTTGCTTTACTGCTGTGCTGGAGACAGCTAGAATCTGACTGTAGAGCAGGTGTGGGATGAAAGAGGAAAATTGGCAACTCTTCACTAAGACAGGAGACAAAATTATCCAGATATGCTCGCTTCCATTCCAGCATGAATCATCTTTAGCATCTCACTGACAGGCAAAGAAGATCACAACTATTGTCCATCCCTCGGACGGTGCAAAAGCTTCTGGCTGAAAAGCAGAACAACAAATGTTGGGCACAGCAAGTGGCTTTTCAGGGCTCCAGTTGGTCAACTAGGGGTGGCCTTTTCAGGATACGCCATTCCACCTCCCCAAATTTTTTCCCCCCTCTCTTTATAATAAGAGGCCATCTACATCTCTCTTGGAAGTGTCTGGGACCCTTAGATTGCTTGTTTTCTGCCCCGTTTTAATTGTGTGGGGTGAGATGTATTTTCAAAAACTTCTGTGGCATTCTCCCAGGCTTAGAAATATCTCTGAACACAGACCTGTGCCTGATTTTGGTAAACACAGGATGAGTGAATGATTGACAGGTAAGATCAGCCCAGAATTGCAGCTGACTTACAAACCATGAATGTCCCTTTTCTTCTTCTATGAATTAAGGGACTGTGATGGCTCTGCAACTCTTTAAACTGGAAGAATTCCTTCCTTCCTTCCTTCCTTCCTTCCTTCCTTCCTTCCTTCCTTCCTTCCTTCCTTCCTTCCTTCCTTCTGCCTCCAGGCTGCAGGTGAAGCTCAAGGGAAGATTTTTCTCCCTTCCCCCCACCCACGCGGCCCATTCATCATTCCAGGTAATGCAGGGGCCATACAGAGGGTCTGGGAGGGCAAAAACCGGGCCTACCGGAGGTTCTGGAAATCTGGAAACGGGCCTGTTTCCGGCCTCCGGAGGGCCTCCAGACCCCGGGGGAAGCTGTTTTTGCCTCCTGGAGGCTCGAGAAAAGCCTCCGGAGCCTGGGAAGGACAAAAAATGCCCCCCTCCTGCCGTGGTGCAGGCAGCCAACTATGCCACGCCTACCATGGCCATGCCCACCCAGCAACGGGGCAACGAACCCATTGCTAAATGATCTGAAGCCCACCCCTGCCTTGATGAGTTTCCATCCATTGCTTCTTGTCTTGCCCTCAGGTGCTTTGGAGAATAGGTTGACCCTCCCTTCTTTTTTATACAACCTCTCAAATATTATCCTGTTCACCCGGGAACTTCTTTTCTCTAGACAAGACATACCCAATTCATGCAACCATTCTTCATATGTTTTACCCTACGGGCCCCTAATAATCTTGTTCTTTCTTGTTCTTTTCTGCACTCTTTCCATAGTCTCAACTTCTTTTTTATAATCTTTTTTTTCTACAGAGGATCTACCACCCCATTCAGTGAGCTCTGTTCTCCTTGTTATCCGATCAAACCCAAAACTCTTTTGCATCTATTCTTCCACTGGCCTTCCTATACCACTTTTCATGCCCAGCTATCTTTATCCCCTTTAACAAAATCTCGGTCTCTGAGCCCATTTTATACCAACAGAGGAGAAGCCCAACACCACCAACCGAGTTGCATCGCTTCTATCAACAGCAGGCTCAATCAATCAATCAATCAATCAATCAATCAGAATAGAGCTGGAAGGGACCTTGGAGGTCTTCTAGTCCAACCCCTAAGAGATCCTAGACCATTCCAGACAAATAATTGTCCAATCTCTTCTTTAAAACCCTCCAGTGATGGAGCACCCACAATTTCTGGAGGGAATTCCTTCCACTGGTTGATTGTTCTCACTGTTCCATAAAATCTAAGATACCCCCAGCTTGGACTGATGACATTATGATGTCTTTATTTTCTCTTTTATTTTGCCATGTTTTTATTTGGCTTTATTTCTACTTTATTTTAATGTTTTATTCTGGTCTTTTGCATTTTATTTTATTCTTCTCTGGTTTTAAAATGTCAACGTCTAAGGCTTTGGACTCTTTGACTTTCTTTGTTGCGTTTGCTCCTTTTTACTTTGATGGTCATTTGCTGTAATTAAATTGATTTCATTCGTTATGTTTAAAAAAATAATAATAGGTGGAATAAATTACCCTACTTTCTTTAATCTTATAATAATGGGAAGCAAAGTTTTAAAAACAACACTCAGTGTAGAGAGATTATGAAGATAATACCTTAATATAGCACAGGAATAATATATCTTACAGACAGTTTTTCTTGGTTCACAGAAGAATAAAATGTGCTCTGTATAGAATTAAATAAGGAACAGAATCCACAGCGATCAAATAATCTTTTAATGAAATGCAGTTGGAAGCCCTTTCATTTAGAGTGTACTGTCAGGAACAAATTTTAAGCTATAAATTAGTGGTGCATAAGCTTCTCTCTCTCTTCCCCCCCCCCTCCCCAAATGCACTGCCTGGGATACAGTTTGCATGACAGGTTTTAGCAAATGCTCACCGGCTGTTTATCGTGACTTGAAAATTGGAGTCTGTTAAGTCTCTTGAATATGGAGCAGCCGTGCTTGCCACTTCTTTTCTTTAAAAAAAAAAAAGATTTAATTCTCAAATGCAAATTAGAGATATTTAAATTGGGCAGATTCTATAAAGGCTTGATTTTTTGAAAATTGGATTAGTCAGTATGCACTGTGTGGTATGGAATGATTAATATTTAGGGACGCAATATTAGGGCTGTGTGAAACGCACCGTAGGGCGTCCTTCGGGATGTGGGTCCCCACCTCATTTCATTAAGGCAGACCCTTGTCCTCCAGAACAGGGGTCTCTCCAACCTTGCCAACTTTAAGACTTGTGGACTTCAGCTTCGCTGGCTGAGGAATTCTGGGAGTTTGAGGTCCACAAGACAAGGCTGGAGACCCCTGCTCCAGAACATGCAACAGCTGTGAGGACTACCCAAGTTTTGTCTTTATATTCAGACATAGGGACACTTGCTATGGCACCTCACCGAGTGACCATGTGGTCCGTGCTTCCATGGTCATCTGAGATCCACTTGCAAAGCCCACACAGCAGTTCTGACACTGTTGTCTCAACACCTCTTCACTCCTGTGTTTTGCAAAGTCCTACGGATGTGTTTATTGCACTTACAATCAGTCAACTAACCCTTGTCTCAACCCCTTCGCTGTTGTCTTGTTGACCTGCATAGAGAGCAGAACTCTGCAATTGTTTCCGTACCGGGTCATTAAAATCATTTTAACAGCACTGTTTAGCTTTCCTATTTCAACAAATAATATATTCATTTTAAATACCCAGGGAGGCATGCCCAGAGAAAAACCAAGCCAAATTATTATTAATTTTCTTCCTGGGTTACACACAAACATGGTGAAATAATACAGCAGGCATTTATTTTCAGCAAGACCTTTGCAAACTTAAGAACTGGTGACTTTTGTTTTAATAGCAACTGAGATTGTGAAGGTGGTTTCTGCACTTTTTTAAAGCATTGCTATATAATTGCAGCCTAGCAAATGTCAAGGGAGATCACATGGAAAACTCTGTAGGAACAAGTAAGTTCAGATCTCTCTCTCTCGATATTTTTCTCAAATAAAGACAGATTTCTGGGCCTAGAAGTTGGAGAAGTTTATCAACTGTATCAACCTGCCCAGCTTATTTCTCTTCCTGTTAAAATGGCAGATGTTGTCTGAGACTTTAGACATACACAGGATGCCAATCAGAATAGAAAAACCAGTGTACTAGGATTTGAGGACCTCGCATGTCTCCTCAAATATCTTCTAGTCCAAACTTGATTCTCCAGTCTCTTCTTAAAAGTCTCAAGTGTTGGAGCATCCACAACTTCTGCAGGGAAATCGTTCCACTAATTAATTGTTCCCACTGTCAGGAAATTTCTGCTTATTTCTAGGTTGCTTCTCTCCTTGATGAGTTCCCATCCATTGATTCTTGTCCTGCCCTCAGGGGCTTTGGAGAATAGCTTGACCCCCACTCTTCTTTGTGTCAACCGTTCAAATAGTGGAACATTATTTTCATGCCCCTAGTCCTCCCCCCCCATTGAAGTAGACACTGTCCAATTTCTGCAACATTGGTTTTAGCTTCCAAACCCTAGGAAGGAAGGAAGGAAGGAAGGAAGGAAGGAAGGAAGGAAGGAAGGAAGGAAGGAAGGAAGGAAGGAAGGAAGGAGAAAAGGGAAGGGAGGGAGGGAGGGAGGGAGGAAGGAAGGAAAGGAGGGAGGGAGGGAGGGAGGGAAGGAAGGGAAGGAAGGGAAGGGAAGGGAAGGGAAGGGAAGGGAAGGAGGAAGGTAGGAAGGGAGGGAGGGAGGGAAGGGAAGGAAGGGAAAGGAAGGAAGGGAAGGAAGGGAAAGAAGGGAGGAAGGGAGGGGAGGGAAAGGAAGGAAGGAAGGGAAGGAAGGAAGGAAAGGACAGAAGGAAGGGAAGGGAAGGGGAGGGAGGGAGGGAGGAAGGAAGGAAGGAAGGAAGGAAGGAAGGAAGGAAGGAAGGAAGGAAGGAAGGAAGGAAGGAAGACCAATAGAGCAACCAATAGCAAGATGGATGGACTTAATTACAAAAGCACTGAATGCATTGTTGAAAACGTCCAGTTTGAGAGCAGCCATCCTGGAGATATTCTGTTTTTGTGCTGGCTAAGAATCAGAACTGACTTGACAGTCAATAACCTAGTACACACGTAATCTGAATATTCATTTCTACAAGTTATGGAAGCCACAATGCCTTTCTTCAAAGGTCAAAAGAGCCGGAAAAGAACGTGATGCTTCCTGCATCAGGTGTTTATGAACTATGGGATTGGGGGGTGGCAGGGAGGAATCATGAGTTATTCTACATAACCAACCCAGTCCTATTGCTGACATTTTATAAGTTTTTACTGAATGGCCAATTGCAAAGAGATGGAATTATTGCCAGGTGCTGCTTTTCGTGGATGGACTTGGTGCGTCTCACCTACCAGGTCTCTTTTCTTTTCCTGCTTACGTGGTTGTGAGTGGAGATCTATTTTTGCCACGACCGGATTCCTTCTTGGTAACCTTTCCTTTTCTTTTTTTTTTTCTTTGGTTTCTTAGACAGCGTCGAAGATGAAATCGAACTGGCCACCGTGCGACATCGACCGGAAGCCCTGGAACTGTTGGAAGCCCAGAGCAAATTCACAAAGAAGGAACTTCAGATTCTCTATCGGGGGTTCAAAAACGTAAGTGCCTCTTGTGGGTTTTGCCCCCAAAGTAGATAATTCCCAAGAATTGGGAAATTACAGAAAGTGATCAATAGTAGCATCATGAGATCTGAGCAATCAACAGATCATTTGTAAGAGAGGGATAAGAAGCGTAAAGCTGTTACCCAGAGCAGGCAAATTATCTGATGATTACACAGCTACTGTAAGATTTCTTACAGCTGAACGATACCAAATCTGAGTAGCTGGAGGAAATGTGTTGTGTTTAGTAAAAAAAAAAAAAGGTAATTGTTTTTATATTGTAATTGGGAAATAGATTTAGCCGGTCCTCAGCCCCTTCGAAGGTGAATTTGGCAATGGTGATTTTCGTCTTCCCGGCTTTCAGAGGCTGGCTGATGAATCATCTTCAGACGGAGATCACAGTGGGACGTTTCCATTTTGTAGCTGCCTTCCCATCCCTTCCTCCTTGCCACACTGAAAGTTTGATTGCCCTAGTCATTAACCTTTCAAACCAAGGACTCCGTGGCGTGCCTTATTTAAGGAGCACTTCACAGTAAATTGCCCAAACTGTCAAACATGCGCTCCACGTGTGGCTGGTTTTTTTTCCCCTTCCCGTCTTCTGCCCATTGATAAGTTTCTTGCAGTTAAAAAGGAAGGAAGGCGAAGGAAGGTTTTGTATTTCTCTAGATTTCTGCCCCCAAAGCATAGGTTGAATACACAGGATTGGCATCTTACGGAGACCTTGTCAATGTGTGGCTTCACTCAAACGCATGACATGTCATGTGCCAGCTTTAGCAAGAGGGCACAGTGGCACAGCGGCTTAATGGTGCTGGAACTGCCAGCTAGAAATAGGTCTGCACTCCAGCGGTTTGAGCCCGGCTCTATGAGACTGAGTGAGTTCCCGCTGCTCACTCCCTGGCCCCTGCCCACTCAGCAGTTCAAAAGCGATACTGCAAGTAGATAAATGGGTACCACCTCAGTTTAAAAAAAAAACTAGCTGTGTTTGTGTGTGCAGCGGGCAGAAGCTGGCGCTGGATCTGGCCAGATGAGAGGCAACGCAACATGTGGTGGGGCAAGACCAGCGGACGGTCTACGACAACTTGTCATGGCCAAACCGCCACGACCAACTCGCCCTGACCAACTCACGATGGGACAACTCACTGCAGAACAAGAGTTATGCTAATATTGAAGAAACAGTGGAACAGACTCACTAAAAAAAGGATGCCGAAAGAAGGACAAAATGAAATGGAAATGACAAAAATTAAAATAATGTTCTAATTATTTTAAATAATTAAACTGAATTGTTCAATTGTCCTGCAGTCAGTTGTCCCATGGCAAATTGGCTGTGATGAGTTGACCGTGAAGAATTGTCCCATTCTGACTGGTGGAGGAGCCCATAGAGCCAGCAATGTGAGCACCGCTAGCCAGCTGGTGTAAGTTACTTTGTCCCCTGTGATGCACCAAGGATAGGCACGAAACCACCGAAGAGAGACCGAAGCAGCCAGTTAGGCCATCAGGGCTGCATTGTGTCTAGCACATGTAGATTTCCCTAACGCCGTGTGCCATATACGCTAAATAAATAAATAAAAGTCAGATTTAGCAAATTGAGTAAAAATCTGGGACTTAAATACGGCAGACTGGGACGTCCATTGGACAAATAATTTCTGATTAGGATCTTTAGGCCATTCAAAAAGACGAAGTTTCTTTTAAAAAAAATAAGTCTCGTAATGTAAATATGAATTGATTTGGGTAATTAAAAGGTAAAGGTTCCCCTTGCACATATGTGCTAGTCGTTCCCGACTCTAGGGGGCGGTGCTCATCTCCGTTTCAAAGCCGAAGAACCAGCACTGTCCGAAGACGTCTCCGTGGTCACGTGGCCGGCATGACTCAACACCAAAAGCACACAGAACGCTGTTACTTTCCCACCAAAGGTGGTCCCTATTTTTCTACTTGTATTTTTCTATGTGCTTTCGAACTGCTAGGTTGGCAGAAGCTGGGACAAGTAAGGGGAGCTCACCCTGTTACGCGGAACTAGGGATTCGAACCGCTGAACTGCCAACCTTTCGATTGACAAGCTCAGCATCTTAGCTACTGAGCCACCGTGTCCCATAATTTGGGTAATTAGCTCACCCCTAGTTAATTCTAATCAAAGCTGCAGTAATATGAATTTATCTGAAACGCTTGAGTGAATCGTCTCCAACATTAGGGAACTGGGAAAGAGCCGCATGAGAAAATAATCAACAAGCAACCTTCGTAGTTTGATCTGTTCTTATAGTTTGAAAAAGGAAAACATTCACTGCGGTTTGTACTGCCATTTTGAGCTGCAGAACAGTACTGTTAGGGAAGTAATGAAGAGCAAATTCATGCAGTATTTATGCATCCCATTTAAACTTAATATTGTGTCCTCTGGATAGTTATTAAAACTCTGTATGTCATTCTCGTGCCTTTCAATTAGACTAACCTTTGGAAAGCACCCTTTTGTGTTTTCAAGCCCTTTGTTTATTATTTTAGGCTGTCTTTAAATAAGATTTATGCAGCCCCTATATATACCAACAAGCATCCCTCAACAAGAGGGAGACTTTTTTAGCTTGCTGATTTAAACGGATGGATAGACGTAACAGTATATAAGGTAAAAAGTGTAGTGTTAATTTATGACTTGCTGGTAACACAATAGTTGGAAAAGGAGAGCAAGTCACATTTTTAAAAAGATAATAGTACATTTTTTTTTCTGCTGCGCAATTATGGAACTGCAAGAAAGCTGCAGTGTACTGTGAATTTCACACAAAGGATTGTCACAAGTACATTGGTAGGTGGGATGTTTCTTCAGTAAAAGTTCATAGCAAAAGGGGGAAAGTTGCAGCCGGAAGCGGTCAGAGTTTTGCCCTCCAAAATGTTCAATGGAATAATAACCTTCCCAATCAAAACTATTTGTCTGGAGTCAAATATCCCCATATTCAGTTATGGAAATAATTTCAAAAGTTGTGGCTATCGATTTTTTAAGTACCACGCCATAAGAGATTTCCCATAAGTCTAGAATTTAAGGACCAATTTGTTAAGTTGTTTTATCTGCTTTATTGTCATGGACCAAGAGTTGTTTATGCACCAAGATAAATTCCTTGTATGTCCAATCACATTTGGCTAATAAAGAATTCTATCTATCATCCATCTATCATCTATCTATCTATCTATCATCTATCTATCTATCATCTATCTATCTATCTATCTATCTATCTATCTATCTATCTATCTATCTATCTATCTTATTAAACTACTTCCAAACATGGAAACATCCACTACAAAATTCCTGGTTTCTTGAAAAATGATAAGGCACTTATGAGCATTGATTGGTATCACCCCCTTCCATATTAAGAAGTGCCTTCCTTCCATCTTTCAACAAGAGGAGAAGTCCCTGGAGAGATCTGCAGTTTAGCACAGATCTGTTCCTTGGAGAGTTGGAAATTATTTAAAGCTAAATGGAGTGAGGTGCTATATAGCTTTGCTCTTCTAATCAGCCTGTGAAAAGTGTGAGTGCAAATGCCCAAGGTGAAGTTTAAAAGCAATAAGAACCTTTCCTCTCCTTTCCTTTCCTTTCCTTCTTCATCCATTTCCTTCCTTTCCTTTCTTTCCCTTCCCTCCCCTCCATTCTCTCTTTTTCCTCTCCTCTCCTCCCCTCCCTTCCCCTTCTTTCCTTTTCCTCCCCTCTCCTCTCTCCTCTCCATGCCCCTCTTTGCCACTTCCCTTCCCTTATTTTCCTTCCACCTGAATACAGTTACAAATGCGTAAACAGGCAGTGAAGCCAAGATTATTTTGAAGACGTTTCATACTATTAATTTATGGGAATATAGAAAGCGGTGAAAGACAAATCATACAAATCATCCACCTCCTCTTGCATTCTCTCTGGGCCTGAATAAAAGCAGTGCCTTCTGCCAGCAACAACCTCCCACCGGCCAATACGCTCCCACAGAGAGGGGCTCCTCAGGGTGCCGTCGGCCAAACAATGTCGACTGGCGACACCCAGGAGGAGAACCTTCTCTGTGGGGGCACCAGCCCTCTGGAATGAGCTGCCCCTAGAGCTTCGTCTTAGCCCCGACCTGCGTACTTTTCCCCGTGCCCTTAAGACCTTCCTGTTCCAGCAAGCCGGACTGGCCCAGTACGAATTTTTAAACGGGTGTATGTGTGTTTTAAATTGAGGGCCAAATTTTATATATCTGATTTTAATTGGTTTTAAATTCTATAAATTCATGTGTTTTAATATGGCTGTAGACCGCCCTGAGTCCCTCGGGAGAAGGGCGGTATAGAAATTTAATAAAATCTAAAACCTAAAACCTAATGCACGGGAAAGGTTGCCAGCAGTCACAAATATAAAACCAGCCGTTTAAAAGTGAAAGTTCTTATCCAGTTGAATTTTAGGGGGGTGGGGGGGAAAGTCTCATTAATTTAAATTGCGCAGGTCTGCATAAATAAAAATTAGGTACCTGTTGCTGCAGCCAGTATTTGGAATAATGGTTTATTGGTTCTGTATGTGGGAGGCTACGATTTTATAGCGTTAAGTTTCTCTTCACGTGGAAGGAAGGGCCCTCAGTTTCCTAGTTCTGCTAGGACTTACGTGTGGGTGGAAGAATTCTCGGTTTCCATTGAATGCCAACCCTTTGATCTCATTAAGCATTTCCTTAAGGATTCTCTTGAGCCCCAGTTGAATTTTTGAGAATCAGACAGTCCGTCTGTTCTTGGTGCCACAGAGAGTTTGATTTATGGTGGAGATTCTGGGGGAAAAAATTGTTTAGCCTCTTAGAATGTTTTAAATTTGGTTTTAAAGAGAGGGATTTTCACAGCTTGAGTTAAAATGAGAAGCAGAAACTATACTTAAAAAAAAAGAAAGTTATATAAAGAAACGTTGAAAGAAACAAAGGAAGAAATTAGTTCAGAGGAATTATGATTATACCCACGTATAGATAGACATACAAAAAAGAAAAACAGAACAAGAGTGGAAGGGACCTTGGAGGTCTTCTAGTCCAACCTTC